GAATTTTATGTCCGATTCATTAATTTGTCTCATCGTCCCTTTCCCATACCGTACCTCTTTGATAAACTACAGATTACGGTACATACATAACATAGGATTTGTATTTCTCATTAAATTTATTTATTGGTGAGAGAGAGAGAGAGAGAGAGAGAGCAAAAAATTTATGCAAAGAATCTCTCAGTATTTCATAGTATTAAAGGATTTTAAAAATCGATATAAAATATATAATGCAATGAATTGAGAATTTGAATAATCGATTGCGTGAATGCATTGGGCTTTATGTCCGACAGGAATCTCTCTTATCATAGGATAGGGACTACTGAATGACATGAAAACATTAATCATTGAAATGTTTCCCTTTTCGTCTTATCAATAATTTATGACTTGTTATTACAAAAATGAAAATTTCTTTCTGAATACGAGTTTAAATTTTTTTGGTAAGTATTGCCTATATTTGGCAGAATATTTGAGAGTGAATTTAATGTGACTTTTATTTCTATTATACGATAACCACAAAGTGATGAAAGACTTTAAGTTCACAATAACCCACTTTATAGGGAATAACATGTATTTCTTGTGACAAAAATAATAACAAAAACTTTCTGTCAATTCATGTGATTTCTTAAGACTTGTGATTCAAAAGGGAAACGACTTTTCATGTGATCTTTGAGGTGTATTTTCTCAGCAAAACTATCAGTGAAAACGTGTTGTTTGTGTTGTGTTTGACCACTATTTGGAGTACAGAACAGACTGTGTGTTCAATACATTTATGAATTCACCGATAATTTATGGCTCGCTTTCAATATATGCCATAAAACGGAAAATTCTTTCCCAAAAATTGTGTTCAAAAATCTTCAAAACTCCATAAGTTATGAGTTTTGAGCGAAATATGACAGTCCCGGCCTGTTTTGGGCTCAGCCTAACACTTGTCTGTAATATTTGAGCTCATATTTTGAAGCGCTTCTCTGCCACTAGACTCCCGTCCACCGCACCTATACTCGCAGTCCCTATCACTTAACAATCATTAATATTTTCCTGTCATTTCAAAAACACAAGCATTTTTTCGGAGGGAGTCATTAAATGGCCCGGAGCTGCCAACTTTGTCAGGATATATTTATGTAAAACAGTTTTTTATGTATTATTCTCCATTGCATTAATGAATGCATTATTTTTTGTCTCTTTTATTATTCACTGCCTTTTGTACACATATTTCCCGTTGATTTTGAATCAACTCAAAGTTTTTTTATGCTAACAAATCCTCTTTACTTTCCATCAGTTTTTGTTGTAGTTTTTAATGCATAAATACTTTTCAAAATACTTTTTCAAGTATTTTGTACGAAAGAAAATCTGCTCAAAAAATTCATATAAGTTTGTGATTTTCTGTTGGATTTAACTCTAAAACGTGAGTCACTTTTGAAGCGGAAAAATAATTGAAACAATATTTTCGGAGAGAATTATAGAGAAAATGATGTGAAGAGTCAGTCGGCAGTCGTTTATAGGGTTTTGTGTCGATTCACTCGTTTGGAGAGGTTTTTGTCGATAATAGGAGAGAGAAATGGGAAATAAAAAAGTAATAATGAATTTGAGAAACGAATCACAATTGAGATAATGATTGCTGTGATAGGAAAGCCATCGCAAAATTTGCATATACTTTGAGCTAATCGTAGAGTGAGTCGCGAAGTTAGAGCCAAACTTTCGCAACCAAACCATCATTTGAAGGGAAGGTGTGGTTGAAGTAATGCCTCGTCTCTCCTCTCTTTCTCGTATGAATCCCCGCACTCTCTCTCCCATTCCCTGCCCTCCCTATGCCTCAAATGTATGCCTCAGTCTCTCTCTCTATATGTATGTAATTCAGAGCCCATTCCCTCCTCTGACACAAGAAATAATTGCATTGATCTGAAAGCCCTGTGCACTGCCTCTCACTCTTACAGTTCACCACAGACTCCAAACACGAGTGAAATCAATATTTCGCTCAAAACTATTCAAACATTTGAGCGATTTATTCAAACAATACATTTCCAATGGGTTCTCGCATTCAATGAACAACTCAATCGTCTAAAATAAATGTGTTTTGTTTTGCCGTCTCTTATATGAAACAAATATTTTTTTGTTTCATATATTTTGTGATCAGTTTTTGTTTGAAGTGATCATTAGTTTTGTGTCTCAATCGGCGATACAAAGCAAACACCAGATCCGCGAACATGTAATTCAGTGGAAAGGCAGCGAACGGACGGTGCGATTATGCATTTCCCGCAAACTTCATACCCGAGTCTCGCAGCACAACATACCGGAGCCGCACACATGACGGGCACTCAGATCGTGGGTATGCCTCAGACCCAACAACACGTCCAATACATGGCGGCCCCGACGGCCACCACCGGTGCCCTACAATCACAACAACCGCAGCAACAGATCATCTCTTCGGCGGCCCTCACGCCTCAAGTGTTGCAACAATTGCAGCAACACTTGTGCGCACAGAATGTGATGACACAACCGACCACTCAGTACGTCATCTCAACGCCCGGCGCCACTACAGCCGCAACCGCTCTGACGGCTATTCCTCAGGGATACCAAACCGTGCAGACAGTCGGTGGACAACAGGTCCTCATTCAGACCAATGCCGTCAACCAGCAGATGACCAACGGAATGACCGTTCAGTCGGCGCCAGCCAATGGCAATCAATTGGTCCAATTGGTCCTATCCAATGGTCAGGTGATTACCACGACTTTAGCCAATTTACAGGCCATGGGAGTGACAGCTCCCACACCAACGCCTCAACAATACTCAACACAATACCAAACTAATGGTAATATTATAGTGACAGGCGCTCAGCCAACCGCCCAATCCATACCTCTTCAGACACAGTTAGTGACCAACTCTGCCGGACAGGTGTTTGCCATCACTCCTCAGATACCGAACCAAACTATACAACAATCAGTGATCGCACAAAACCCCGCAAACGGTACGACCACTCAATACATACAAATAGCTGGTCAGCCGTTTGTTCAGCAGATTGTTGGACAACAGCCACATGTGGTAACAAATGCAGCACTTCTTCAGCAGCAGCAGCAACAACAGCAACAACAGCAGCAGATGGAGGACAGCAACAAACTGGTCCAACAGCACCAGCAGATGATTCAACAGCAGCTCCTTTTGCAACAGAAACAGCAATCGGAACAACAGAATCACATAAAGTCCAGCGAATCGGTGACACAAACGCGGGCCTCGAGTTCTCCATCGACTGTGTCGACCACTGTCTCTTCAACCACATCCAGACCTCAATCAACGCTCACTCAAGAAAATACTAGTCATTCAATTGATAATAACTCGGAGATTATATCGACGGACAAAGTCTCGGTGCAAAGTCAGACCTCATCCCCTTCCTCCTCATCCAACAACACTATGGAAGCCGAGTCCACCACTCAATGTAATCTTCCCAACAAAGGTTTGATTATCAACGAGATTTGGGACACAATTTGAGATTAATTTGTTGATATTGTCTGATAAACAGATACCATAAGTAATACTGACGCTAATATTGTCGATGGAATCAATTTAGAAGAGATCAAAGACTTTGCCAAAGCCTTTAAGATAAGACGCCTGTCGTTAGGGTTGACCCAAACCCAAGTGGGACAGGCGTTGAGCGCCACCGAAGGGCCTTCATATAGTCAGAGTGCCATTTGCAGGTAATTATGGGTTTTGTTCTCTGACAGTATAATTGATTATTAAATTACAAGAATTTGTTTGTGTATTAAATTAATACATTGAATGGTATTGTTGTTAACCAATAGGTTCGAGAAGTTGGATATAACGCCAAAAAGCGCACAAAAAATAAAACCGGTTTTAGAGAATTGGATGAAAGAAGCGGAGGAACGGTATAAGAATGGCAACCAAACGCTCACTGAATTCATGGGCTCCGAGTCGAGCAAAAAGCGCAAACGGCGGACATCTTTCACGCCGACGGCCCTCGAGTTCCTGAACCTGTTCTTCGAGAAGAACACACACCCGACCGGTTCAGAGATGACCGAACTGTCCGAACAGTTGAATTACGAGCGCGAAGTCGTGAGGGTCTGGTTCTGTAATAAGCGACAGGCGCTCAGGAATACCAATAAGAAGTTCGAGACAAACACCACTTACCATCAGATCGTATGAAACAAAGTATTTCTCTCTATTTTCTATCACTCGCCCATTGATTCCATTATATATTTTGTGTTCATTTTTTGTATTGAATTATATATTCAATCAATTTATTGACATTTTTTGTAACAAACCTTCAGAATTAAGCTGTTATTACGAAACAAATATAATAACTATTAAATAGACAAATCAAGTATTATTTTTGTGAATTTTTCGATACAAAGAAGTAAACCAAATAATGATCTCTTTTTATGAATACTTTTATTATATTATTTGTATAAAAATTTTTAGTTTTTTAATTATTTAATGTTTTGTATTAAATTATTATTGAAATGAATAAAACTTATAATTCAATGACTTTTCTAATAACTTATTTAATTGGTTGATAATTAAACATGTTGATCAATAAATATTTATACCGGTACATGTATTAATAAACACTTTAATGGGAGGTAATTATCACTAAAGTAGTGGTGAATTATAAATACGTTAAAGAATTTTATTATTCTATAATAAAATAATAAAATTCAAATGTTAATATTTAAGATTAAAACAAAAAATATAAATGCCTCGTTTTAAATGAAATTAGGATTCTGTAAATTACTGTACTGCTAGGTTAGTTAAGTCTGTAATATTTTACTTGTTCAAATAATTATACAAATTTGTAGAATAATACTATGATATATGAAAATGAGAAATGCCATGGCTCGGGAGGTTATGGTAGGCTCTCGTTTTATTTTATGGGATTTTGTACATGAAGTTTCCAATGAATTCACAATTAATTATTAAATTATATCCATTTCACAACTATAACAAATCAAATCAATTTATAATATAATGTGATGTGAGTCTAAACTGTTAAATCCAAACACACCTTTAAACATGAATTCATTTCAAAGTCTATCCTAAGACTGAGTTCTTAATAGTAACTATAAAATATAAAACATGAATGTCTGCAAAATATATGCAAAATACTTCTCAAAATTAAGATTATAAAAGTTATAATAACCCTGGGAATGGAAACTACTTACAATAAAGTTTATAAAATGAGTTAAGAATTTATATAAAACTAAAACTCAAGTCTTATTCAAACTAAGGTTCGGACATAACATAAGGACCGGAAGTGACGCCTGGATCTTAACTTCATAAATCAGTATACATGAAATCTAAATCTTATTTAAATTCATAATGATTTTCACTAACGAGTAAGTTTTTAATAAATCTGTAACAAATTTAAGATAGTTTTATACAAAAAAAACTCAGAAATAAATTAATACTTATGCATAAATACTGTACCAGTTTTGTAAAGTTTTTACTCAAAAGTTTATTGTTTTATTTATTTATTTCCAATGCAGTAGTACTCTGTCATACAGAATAAGTATGTTTTGGTTTTTAATCAAATCCACAGTATTTGTCAAAAGGAAATTATAGTTTATTCACTATATTGAGGGAAATAAGCATAAAAATTTATTAGCATATGAAAATTCAAGAATCAACTGCTATTAATGTGTACTGGGGCATTGGGTGCACCTCTGCCTGAATCTGAAGTGAACTTTGATTTATGAGTTTTGAGTGCAATTTTATGGCTATAATTACAAAGCCATAAAATTGTGGCTTTTATTACAAAGTCATAGCAATTTCATAATGTTTGTGCGAAAACGACTTTCGTATAAATCATGCAAACAATTGATAATGTGATTTTAATAGAAAATAAAATTTTATTAAATTATAAAACAACATAACAAAATGAAATAACCAAATAAAACGACTACTCATTCACTACTTTTAAAATGAAAAATTAATTTAAAAATAATGTTTTAATTAATTTTAAAAACTATTCTCTAGACAACTACTAAACCATTGAATTGGAGTCCATCGAGTGATGAAAAGTTGATTTTTAGAAATGGCTTTAATTTTGAGTCCAATTACAAATAGAGTTCTACTCCGGGAATAGTCGTGTATTTTTATGGACACCAATTGGTTTTTACTAATTTATTGTTAATTTTTATAAATCACTCCAAAGTCTCCAAGCTTTTGAATGAAAAATAAGTTCAAACTTATTAATGGATTGATTTGCAAAAATTGTTGTTTATGTGATTTGTTGTGTAATACTGTCTTTATTATTAATATGATGTATGTGTCTGTGAATTGTGTATATCTTGTCAGACAACTGAGATATGTTAAGACAACTGAAGTCCGGAAACAATGACACCAAACATATGATGGGAACAGGACTTAAGCGCTCACACGAAAAAACGTTTGCATAGAAATCGATTGACATATGATTTAATGGCACAGAATATTCGTAAGTTTTACACACTTTTAAGAGAATAATAGCATTTCAGAGAAAAATATGTTTGATTCAAATTATAATTACAATTACAATGCAATGAACAATAAGTTTAAAATTTAGATAGAATTTTCATAAATAGTTAAACATTCAATAAATAGTTATAATTAGTTTTATAGATATTATCTGACAATCGCTAAAATAGAATAATTTATAGATTATATTCATATATATTTTTATATTACGTTAAGTTATTCTGAATCGATGTCTAAATCTATACAGAAATTGATTAGAAATTTATAGCAATCAATAAAACTAATGGAAACAGTCCTACAAAATACAGATAAAACAATAAAAATTCTTTCATTTTAATCACAACCACTTTTCAGAAAAATAAATATAATTTTGCCAAAATTTAGTATACTTTTGGAGCACTTGTTTCATATATTTAAATAAGACCTCAAACTCACAACCATTTTATCGTTCAATAAGTTTTTTGTTTCTTTTTATTTGACAAAAGTTTTTATAAATAATAAAAAAGAAAAAAATTCAAAGTTTCAATTAGAGATTAATAGAAATTAATTAATGGTTTAAAAAATATGCTCTAAAAATGATAGGAAAATATATGCGAAACAATTATCGACTGGAATAACATTGATATCGAGAATAAAGAATTCAATTGTAATAATAGTATTGACTTTTCTATCGATGTTTTGCTATAATTTGCCGAAATTTCTAAGTTTAAGATAAATATTAATTCAATTAAACATTAAAATTAAATCTATATTTGCTTTTTTTTGTTTTTATGTTTCAACAATTGATTAAAGATATTATTACTAATTTGTGCTCATTTGAGACTCGGGTAAGACATAGGATATGTCGTCCCACGGGTGCCGATATAAGCCTTGTTTGAGTCGTCTCTGATCCAAATAATGGCCTGAAATGCGAGACATTTGTTTAGAAATCATAGACCAATTCATTGTGAAATAAACCCACCGATAAAACCGATAGTTCGGCCCAAAACAAAAAGTCCGTTCAATACTCCGATGTCAATGTACTCCTGGGCCTCCTCGCGAGTAAAACAGCCACTGTTTCGGAGCAGATCTACTACAGCGACGGCAACGATTCCGTCCACGTTTAGGATTAGATTCGGTTTCTATTCAAACACACCATTAGTTAATATTCAATAAAACAAAATATCATTCAATGAAAAGTGCATTACTTTAGAAGTAGTGATCTTTTCGACCTCCAGAGCGTAGTCTAAGACGGGTGTCGAAGGGAATGTCTGTTTGACGTAATCCTTCATGAGTTTGACTCTCATATCGGGATTGTTAATGGATTTGACTCGATGTCCGATTCCCATAATCAGTTGTCCCTGTTTTCGGGTCTGATTCACAAACTCGTGAGGAATGAGTCCCGAGTCGTACGCCTCACTGAACTGACGGGCGGCGCCGTCCAGAGCGCCACCGAATCGATCGCCAATCGTCAGCAGACCGGACACGAGGGACGACACCAAGTCCTTGCCGGCTCGGGCGCAGACTATCGTGTTGTGGGCACCGGAAACGGCCGGTCCGTGATCTGCGGTCACCATCAGAACCATTTCAAAGAACTTCGACGCATAAGTCGGGAGACGCCTCTGGAACCACAGCAAAGACAGAGTACCGCCGATTCCCAACTCCTCTTTGATGACAGTCGTGATAGGAATGCCGGCGTACGACAACTCGTGACCCCTTTCGTCGCAGATGGACGTCATAAAAGAGGCCGGCTTTCGGATGAGACCCAACTCGCGCGCCCACTGGTAATCCATAGGAACGGTGGGCGGCGGCACTTCCGGCTGAGGTATAATAACTTTGTTTTGGACTAATTCTTGATACACACGACGAACGGTGTTCCCCAAGTCGTCGAAAGTGTTGGGCACGTGAACGCCCGCCTCTCCCAGCGCTCGGTTCTTTGCCAGAGCTGTCTCGCGGTCGCTGTTAGCACAGGCGCCCGCGTGTCCGAACTGCACCTCAGACGTGAACATACCGGCGCACGTGCCGATACACCAGGCGACCAACGGTTTGGTGATACGCCTCTCTTTGATGGCATTACACACGTCGTACTCCTCGACGCCTCCGACCTCTCCCAACAGGACCAACATCTTTATGTTGGGGTCCTTTTCGTAGCGCAACAAATGGTCCAAAAACGTTGTGCCCGGATATCTGTCACCACCGATGGCCACTCCCTCGTAGACACCATTAGTCGCTCGAGAGATGATGTTATTGAGTTCGTTAGACATACCGCCAGAACGGGACACGTATGCGACGCTTCCGGGCCGGTAGAGCATAGATGACAACAGGTTGTCCATCATTCCACCCGTGTTTCCAATCTTGAAACAGCCGGGTTTGATGCCACCCACAGTTGCCGGCCCTATGATAGTCACGCCTTTCATCGCCGCCTCTTTGTTCATCTTTCGGGTCATGTTCTCAGGAATTCCTTCGGCAATGATAGCAATGGTGCGGATCTGCGGGAACTGCAGTGTCTCTAAAGTGCTGTCATATGCGGATCGAAGCGACGCGAAGCTGATCAATACGTCCACTTCCGGGTGTTTCTTCATGGCGTCCGCCATATTCTTGTAGACAGGAATCAGAATCTCTTTGTGTCCCCAATAGAACTTCTGTTTGTGATCGCCAGTGAAGGGGTAGACGAGTGCGGCCACAGACCACTCTTTGCGCGAACAGACAAAGTCGAAGTCAAGCATCGACTGAACGGCTCGGGTCTGCATTCCCCACACAATCGATTTGGTGGTCGGACTGAACAGCGGTTTGGATGCGTCGCCGGCGCTGGCGTTCACAGCGTTGGCGTTGGCGTCAGAGTGCGGGCCGTTAAACATCTTCTGACCGGACGCGTTGCCGGCGTCACCGTTGGCGCCGTTGTTGCCGTGCATATTACCGGGCAGTAAAAAATTAGCGGTCGTCACCTTCGACTCCGGCAGCTCCGGGATGTCCTTCTTCTGGAGGGCCATCGCCACGATCGCAGTCATGTGCGTCTCGGGTCCGAACACGTGCACCGGCACTCCCAAGGTGTTGCCCGTCTCTCGCATGACGCGCAGGCCTTCCTGATAGTTAGGTCCCGCCCTTCGCACGAAGATCTGAACGCCGTATTCAATGAGTTTGGTCTGGAATTCCCGCAACGCCTTCACGATGCCCTTGAAGGTCGCGGCGACGTTCGTGAAGTTGGCGATCCCGCCGCCGATCAGCAATAGCTTTCCCAACGGATGCTTCTCTTTGGTCATGAGAGTCAGTATAGTCTTCGCGTACTCATAGGTCTGCTGTTCGCTGGGAGCGCCGGAGTACTCGCCATAGTTGGCCAGCTCTGCGGCGCCGCCCAACTCGCATATGGTGTCCGCGTAGATAACGGAGGCGCCACCGCCGGCAACCATTGTCCAGATGCGTCCGCTTTTGTTCAGAATCGTCAGCTTAAGACTGGCGCCACTCTTGGAGTCCAAGTCGGCGATGTAGGCCTCCTCGGGAAAGGCGTCTCTGCCGAATGGGGGCGGGTATTCAAATTCGCCCCATTTTTGTTTGCATATGAACTCAGCGGTTGAGTCCAACTTCGCCGCCAAATCCAATACATATATTCCATTCTTAGTGACCACTGTTTCAGAGGAATAATAGCATTAAATAAAATCAAAATAGTGTTCATAAGTCAATGGTTTGTTTACCCAAAGGATTGATTTCCAAATAAGTAAAGTACAGATCGACGTAAACCCGGTATAAGTCAAACACAAATTTGGTCACAACTTCCAGTCGATCAGCGGATATATTCTTCAGCAATGCTTTTACTTGGCTTTCGGCGAGCTGTCCGTCAATAGGAATGTCTATTTTAAGTGCTTTGGACTCAACGTCTCCGATGTCGACGCCTCCCTCGTGATGGAAGAGAATGGTGTCGCCCGAGCGGTGCGAATAAATACAGATATAGGCCTCTTCCTCTTGTTTGTGGGGCAAAAAGGGCTCAATTATGAAAGTCCTTAACTTTCCGCTCGCTTTTCCAATCTATTTGTTAGAAAATCAACCAAAATATTCAAAAGTGTGTCAAAAAACAAAACCAATTATTCAATGAAAAACTAGAGAATCTCTGTTAGAATCGTCTGAATATCAGATATCATTTAACATATCTATCCTATTATTAGTTGTTTTAATTTTCTCGACATTTATTAACAATTTTTCTCATCAATTACAAGACATTTATCACTTCTTATGTCGTGAATTATCTTTTAACGAGAATCTTATTAAATATATTTCTTATCGATTTATTCCCGGTTTTTATCGATCAGATTCTCATACATTAAACAAATAAAAATTCCTCTTAAAAGTCATTCAGAAGCGAAGAATGTGTGAAATGACAGCTATTTTTCAGTGTAAATAATATGTGAAGAATTCCCATATATTAATAAACACACGAATAATTGCCATGAATTCCGCGACTCACTTGAATATCTTTGGCCATTCGCTCGGAAACCCATTTCTTGACGCTTTCGATGTCAGCGTTCACTAAAATCAGTCCTAATTTGCCTCTTCTTTTGATGAGCTGATCCGGTTTGACGACCAAACGCTATCATAAGACCATAATTGTGTTAATAATAGAATAAACAAAACATATGAAACAGACAGACATTACTAACTAACCTCTGTTTTAAGCCATGGATTACTTGCTATCAAATCGCTATAATTGGTGTCTTCGTTGACCACAGCATACCGTGAATTATTGGCCGACCCTTTCAGATATCTGTTCAATAAGTCCTTTCCAGTGGCCTCTCGTATAGCTTTTGCTGACATTTTTTCACTTCAATCACTGAACAAATAAAATGAACAAAAGATGACTTCAATTGTAATGAATATTATATTTAATTATCTATAGTTTGCATAAAAAAGTTTCAAATATTTGTCGTTTTGTGTTCAAATATTTTCAATTTGGAAAATGAATTAATATTTCATTTTTTGAAGGGGTTTTTGAATGCTTTCAAGGCTTTAGCATATGAAATGTGAAACACGTTTTCCCTTTAAATATACACTCCAAAGGAAAGTCTACTCGTATTGAAGGATAAAAAAGTTTTTAAATATTAATATTTAAATTATCAAATTATTATCGAATAATTTTTAATTGTATACAAAGCAATTAACTATTGACTTATTAGTACAAATAATAACTTTTAATGTAGTATTTAGCAAATTAACGGAAATTTTTGTTACAGTACACATAAAAATAATTACATTTTAAAACTGCATTCAAAATTGATTAACTCATCGAGCATTGAATTATGAATTAAGTTATAAAATGGCAAAAAACGCTTATATAATGCCAATAACGATCTCAATTAGAAGTTCATTAACACAAACAATTGCACACAAAATAGAGGTCATAGATGTTCAGTAGATCTATGAATAGGTTTTTAAAAATAAAACTTCAATTTGAGCACAAAATAGCGATAAGAGATGAGACCACTGAACGAAAAAGTTTGAAGACTTTTATTGAATTAATTACAAGAAAACAAACATAAGTCATGAGAAGAGCATTACGTCTATTGAATCAAACAGTTTCGTCATTAGCTCTTCACTTCACTGTTTGACACAATCGTCTAAATAATCGGAATTTCCTCTAAATTATTACAACTATAGTAATAATAATAATAATATAAATATATTTTTTGACAAATTAATTCTTTTCAGTTTTATCCTCAATACTAATATAAATCCAACAAATTCTTGTGAAAATACTTAAGATATCTCACCACTCATTCAGGATTTACACAATTAGTGCTATTTTTAATTCAATTGACACAACAACTACGAAAACACTCGTAAGCATTCAATTCGTGTCCGTTATTATAATCACTAATCAAATATAAGTTAAACATCTATTATTAAGTGTCATTTATATCGCAAATGTGCTTAATTTTTATTGATTTCTATCACTTTTCCTTATTTATCGCGTTTTCCTTAAATTTATTCAAAAAATAATTGATAGAAAATAACAAAAAATTCAAATATATTTTTCGCATCTAATGAGAAACAATGTAATTTAAAATTCAATTGACTTATAAGATATGAAATATATTTTCAATCGATTCAATCATTTGTTGTTAACGATTCTCAAAGACATAATCACTCGTAAGGAGGCCACCGAAGACCACCCCTTTTTGGACATCTATTTCACATACAATTTTTAGTTGATTTAGTAATTCATTACATAAACTATCCAAACATTAATTTCAAACATTAAAACAAAT